GACTAATATGCTAATGTTGATGTATGAATTTAAGAACAATTCATAAGTCAAATATTGCCTCTTAACGGAAGTCCATTAAACATTACACAAGTAGTCTAAAACAAGAGCATATATATATATAAAACATCTCAGGTTAAAAATAGTTTAATTTATTTTGCTATACTTTTTTATTTTTTATTTTATTTTTATAATAAAGGGTTTTTTTTTAATTTATTGATACAAAACAAAGTTCAATAAATTTTCTCTATAAATTATTATAATTGTGTGACCTTTTGAGATATTAACTCTAATTTATTAAGATGACAATTATTTACTCTCAAATAATTTAAGTGAGAAAATAGTGATTTTTATTCTCCTAGGTAGTTAAAATGTTATAAAAAAATAATATTGTCCGTCAATTATCTACCTTGACCCAATTACATGAAATAGAAAATCCCATAATAACTCAAGGGTATAATTGGAAAGAATTTTTTTTTGTAGAGTTTTAAACCACACACAAAACTAGGTAAGAAACAATGAACCAAACACTTGACAAAAATAATCCCTGCATTACCAATCCATGCATTATTAATCTCTGCATTACTAATCCCTACATTATTGATCTTTGTACCAAACGACCCAAAGTGTTTGTTTATAGTCCAGACTCGTACATTCTAGTTTTGATTAAGTCTTTAGTTGTAAATGTTATTTGGTATGTTTTCAAGAATTTTTAATTAGAATTCATGTATACTACATATTATTTTGTTAAATGTAATATTACAGAATAACCAACAACTAAGTTATGAACAAGGTGAAGAGAACTCTAGCAGTTCTTTGAGGATTGAATTTATATATGTGGTAAAATACAAGAATAACGTACGGCTAGGGGCGAAAGACCGGCCAAAAAATCGATGGATGCACATATGACCTAATATTCATGGAATATAACACATGAAAAATGAAAAAATAATCCTATTTTTCATTTTAGGCCTCGTTTGAACTTGTAAATATCAACATTTTTTTCCTCCGAACCAATGCACGATATTGAATACGTCGTCACGAACGGCCACAAAAAATGCATTTTTGTATAATTTAACGAATAAAATACTTAAAAACACTAACTTTGAAAATATCATGCAAAAAATTGATGTCAACAACTTGCTCCTTTTTTTTATTAGGATCAATGGAAGAGATCTTGATCAAACAAAGTTGACGAATCCGATTTTAATTTAATAAACTTTGAACAAAATGATATGATATGTTAGTAGAGCTTTTAAACAATATCCTACATTTGTCAACAAAGCTGAAGATAATAAACAAAAAGATAAGGATTGTTCGAAAATTGAAATCATTTACATACCTTCAAAATTGCACACTAAAGATTGTGCACCTCTTTCAAATTTTGTGCACCTCTTTGATGGTCGAAATAACAAGCGGGATCCTATATGAGGTGTCTAAAATAAACATCGTTCAGTTAAAGTGTCTAAGTGAACCATTGTGCCAACATTAGGGGGTCACCAATGGGTTAGGCCCCTCTTTGATAGAAAGACGATGTGAACAACATGACATTTTGAACAATGTGATGATTTAACTTATGTCTTAAAAGACGGACAACCCAATTTAAATAGAACATATCATTAAACTTCTTATGAAAATTTAATAATTAAAAAGCAAAAATTGCAGATTTAATAGATTTTTTTCTTCAAAATCTACTTTTGTCATAACTACAAAGAGTTTTTGACTAAAACCATCCTTAACAATACCCCCAACTTAAACTACATCCTTAAAATATCCTTCTTAACGAAAAAACATCCCCCAAATATTTAAAACTTAACAACTTTCATCCCTCTATTAAAATATGTCAAAAAATTGACGAATTCCACAAAAAAGCATTTGCAATTCATACTATTCTCATAAAAAAAAATCTATAATATTATTACCGGTTGAAAAAAACATCCACATAAAATAAAAAAATTGAGACTCATGTTTGTTGTTAAAAAAAAAAATGTTAGGACGACGTGTCTACGAGGAGACATGATCTGCTCTTCTCCTTTACCAACTGAATGGAGTTGGAGCTTAATTTCACATCATCTTCACCTTCCAAAGTCAAAATGTCATTAGATCAATAATTTTTGGGGCAAATTGATAATTGAGGTAATCAAGATTCAGCTCATTTTGATCTCTAGTATTCAAGTTTCGTTTTCATTATTAGAAGTAAAAGTCTATGATCGACACCACTTTTTGCAGATTCAATGAAAAAAATATATTTCTAAAATAAAAATGAATTTAATAATTCTTTGATATCAAATCAAATGAAAAGTAAATAAAAACGAATTTGCTAATTAAAAGGAAGACAATGCAAAACATTATTGCTAAAATAATAATAATATTATTTTAGATGTATGTAGAATGAACAAAATTGGTTTATTGGGTGATTTAGGGAGTTTTGTTGAAAGTAGTGTGAATTGTACATGTTTTTGATAATTTTTAACAAAAGGATGAAAGTTGTCAAATCATAAATATCTCTTATTTAGATCTCTTATTTAGAAGTGAGAGTTGGAAAGGACCAACATTGCATTAAAGTACTTGTACAATGTTGGTCCTTCCATTGCATTAAAGTACTTGTACATATATAAGTGGGCCCCACCTCCTTCCACTTAAATAATATTCTTCAACCTTATCATGGTAAAAGTTGAATTCATTATCCTTTTCATTTAATTTTATATGCTATTATTTTTTTCTATAAAATCATTATATATGTTTTAATAATTTACTTCCACTTAAATAATATTTTTCAACCTTATCATGGTAAAAGTTGAATT